AGTGATGTTTATAATACCTTTGATCTTATGTGATCTTAGAGGAGAAATATACTTAGTGAGACATTGTGGATGATTGTGGCGGGTTTTCAGTGATGTTTATAATACCTTTGTTCTTATGTGATCTTAGAGAGGAATATAACTTAGTGAGACATTGTGGATGATTGTGGCAGGTTCAGTGATGTTTAAATACCTTTGATCTTATGTGATCTTAGAGGAGAAATATAACTTAGTGAGACATTGTGGATGATTGTGGCAGGTTCAGTGATGTTTATAATACCTTTGTTCTTATGTGATCTTAGAGGAGGAATATAACACAGTGAGACATTGTGGATGATTGTGGCAGGTTCAGTGATGTTTATAATACCTTTGTTCTTATGTGATCTTAGAGGAGAAATATAACTTAGTGAGACATTGTGGATGATTGTGGCAGGTTCAGTGATGTTTATAATACCTTTGTTCTTATGTGATCTTAGAGGAGAAATATAACTTAGTGAGACATTGTGGATGATTGTGGCAGGTTCAGTGATTTTTTATAATACCTTTGTTCTTATGTGATCTTAGAGGAGAAATATAACACAGTGAGACATTGTGGATGATTGTGGCAGGTTCAGTGATGTTTATAATACCTTTGTTCTTATGTGATCTTAGAGGAGAAATATAACACAGTGAGACATTGTGGATGATTGTGGCAGGTTCAGTGATGTTTATAATACCTTTGTTCTTATGTGATCTTAGAGGAGAAATATAACACAGTGAGACATTGTGGATGATTGTGCAGGTTCAGTGATGTTTATAATACCTTTGTTCTTATGTGATCTTAGGGGAGGAATATAACTTAGTGAGACATTGTGGATGATTGTGGCAGGTTCAGTGATGTTTATAATACCTTTGTTCTTATGTGATCTTAGAGGAGGAATATAACTTAGTGAGACATTGTGGATGATTGTGGCAGGTTCAGTGATGTTTATAATACCTTTGTTCTTATGTGATCTTAGAGGAGGAATATAACTTAGTGAGGCAGCAGCCATGGATGAGGAGAAATATAACATACGGTGAGACAGCAGCCATGGATGAGGAGAAATATAACATACGGTGAGACAGCAGCCATGGATGAGGAGAAATATAACATACGGTGAGACAGCAGCCATGGATGAGAGAAATATAACATACGGTGAGACAGCAGCCATGGATGAGGAGAAATATAACATACGGTGAGACAGCAGCCATGGATGAGGAGAAATATAACATACGGTGAGACAGCAGCCATGGATGAGGAGAAATATAACATACGGTGAGACAGCAGCCATGGATGAGGAGAAATATAACATATAGTGAGACAGCAGCCATGGATGAGGAGAAATATAACATACGGTGAGACAGCAGCCATGGATGAGGAGAAATATAACATACGGTGAGACAGCAGCCATGGATGAGGAGAAATATAACATAGTGAGACAGCAGCCATGGATGAGGAGAAATATAACATATAGTGAGACAGCAGCCATGGATGAGGAGAAATATAACATACGGTGAGACAGCAGCCATGGATGAGGAGAAATATAACATACGGTGAGACAGCAGCCATGGATGAGGAGAAATATAACATACGGTGAGACAGCAGCCATGGATGAGGAGAAATATAACATAGTGAGACAGCAGCCATGGATGAGGAGAAATATAACATATAGTGAGACAGCAGCCATGGATGAGAAATATAACACAGTGAGACAGCAGCCATGAATGAGGAGAAATATATAGTGAGACAGCAGCCTTGGATGAGGAGAAATATAACATATAGTGAGACAGTAGCCATGGATGAGGAGAAATATAACATATAGTGAGACAGTAGCCATGGATGAGGAGAAATATAACATATAGTGAGACAGCAGCCATGGATGAGAAATATAACATATAGTGAGACAGCAGCCATGGATGAGGAGAAATATAACATATAGTGAGACAGTAGCCATGGATGAGGAGAAATATATAGTGAGACAGCAGCCATGGATGAGGAGAAATATAACATAGTGAGACAGCAGCCATGGATGAGGAGAAATATAACATAGTGAGACAGCAGCCTTGGATGGAGTTGAGATCAGTAATGGTGTGTCAGCTGTGTCCTCTGTTGATTTGTGAGAGTCTGAGATCAATGTCTGCCATGAGAGGAGGTACAAGTACCTCCTCGTCTTCTGGGACCAACTGTACCCAGGCCTAGTCCCATTCCCAGCCCCCTCGGGGCTCGACGGGTGTGGCAGCTGCACAGCAGCAGATGGCAGGAGGTGCAAAGGCAGCAAGCACTACACGATCTTATTCCAGCCATAACCCAGCTCCTGGGCCCAGGCCCAGGAGCTGGGAGTCTCAAGAATGCCTCTTGTTGTGTGTGTTGCTGCTGCTGCTACAGCTACAGCTGCTGCTGTTACTACAGCTGCTGCTGTTACTACAGCTGCTGCTGTTACTACAGCTGCTACAGCTACAGCTGCTACAGCTACAGCTGCTACAGCTACTACAGCTACAGCTGCTACAGCTACAGCTGCTACAGCTACAGCTGCTGCTACTTCACTGGTCTGTTGCAGTCTACAGTTGTTCCCTGTGAATATACTCTTTTTATATCGTTTAGCCCCTCAAGGGAGGTTCCTTGACGTTGGTGAGGGGCTCTTGATCTAGGGAATTGGATCTGTGCTCCGGTTCCCTGAATTAACCCTGAATACCTTCCATCCCCCCCTGAGCTGTATAATCCTACGAGTTTAGCGCTACCCCCACAATTATAATAATTATATTGTTGGGTCACAGATAATTGGTTCTGTCCATTACTCTCGCCTCGGGACAAAATTAAATAATTCTGTGATGTAAAACTCTTGATCCCCCCCAAAAAAAACCCTGCTATTCCCCTTGGATCAAACCCGAATGCCTTCCATTTCCCAAGATGCTGTAGTATCCCTACGGGTTGAGCGCTCTCCCGTGAATACAACAGGTACTACCACTAATAATAATATAATCTTTTAAGTTAATTAAAAATTTTGATGCAAAAGTAAGGACCAATTTCCAAGTAATTAATGTGGAATCTATTGCCTATGTATACTGATATATAAATATCACCTGGCCCCACTCCACAAAGGGGGCAGTAAAGCAACAGCAAAGAACTACAGACCGATAGCACTAACATCCCATATCATAAAAATCTTTGAAAGGGTCCTAAGAAGCAAGATCACCACCCATCTAGAAACCCATCAATTACACAACCCAGGGCAACATGGGTTTAGAGCAGGTCGTTCATGTCTGTCTCAACTATTGGATCACTACGACAAGGTCCTAAATGCACTAGAAGATAAAAAGAATGCAGATGTAATATATACAGACTTTGCAAAAGCCTTCAACAAGTGTGACCATGGCGTAATAGCGCACAAAATGCGTGCTAAAGGAATAACAGGAAAAGTTGGTAGATGGATCTATAATTTCCTCACAAACAGAACACAAAGAGTAGTCGTCAACAGAGTAAAGTCCGAGGCGGCTACGGTGAAAAGCTCTGTTCCACAAGGCACAGTACTCGCTCCCATCTTGTTTCTCATCCCCATATCTGACATAGACAAGGATGTCAGCCACAGCACCATGTCTTCCTTTGCAGATGACACCCGAATCTGCATGACAGTGTCTTCCATTGCAGACACTGCAAGGCTCCAGGCGGACATCAACCGAATCTTTCAGTGGGCTGCAGAAAACAATATGAAGTTCAACCATGAGAAATTTCAATTACTCAGATATGGTAAACACGAGGAAATTAAATCTTCATCAGAGTACAAAACAAATTCTGGCCACAAAATAGAGCGAAACACCAACGTCAAAGACCTAGGAGTGATTATGTCGGAGGATCTCACCTTCAAGGGCCATAACATTGTATCAATCGCAGCTGCTAGAAAAATGACAGGATGGATAATGAGAACCTTCAAAACTAGGGAGGCCAAGCCCATGATGACACTCTTCAGGTCACTTTTTTCTATCTAGGCGGGAATATTGCTGCACACTAACAGCACCTTTCAAGGCAGGTGAAATTGCTGACCTAGAAAATGTACAGAGAACCTTCACGGCGCGCATAACGGAGATAAAACACCTCAATTACTGGGAGCGCTTGATGTTCCTAAACCTGTATTCCCTGGAACGCAGGCGGGAGAGATACATGATTATATACACCTGGAAAATCCTAGAGAGACTAGTACCGAACTTGCACACGAAAATCACTACGAAAGCAAAAGACTTGGCAGACGATGCAACATCCCCCCAATGAAAAGCAGGGGTGTCACTAGCACGTTAAGAGACCATACAATAAGTGTCAGGGGCCCGAGACTGTTCAACTGCCTCCCAGCATATATAAGGGGAATTACCAACAGACCCCTGGCAGTCTTCAAGCTGGCACTGGACAAGCACCTAAAGTCGGTTCCTGACCAGCCGGGCTGTGGCTCGTACGTTGGTTTGCGTGCAGCCAGCAGTAACAGCCTGGTTGATCAGGCTCTGATCCACCAGGAGGCCGCGGGGGCGTTGACCCCCGGAACTCTCTCCAGGTAAACTCCAGGTTACTAGAATAGTTATTATTCGCATACTTTAAGCTATAACTATTATTATTATAATCAAAACAAAGTGGTAAACTTACTAGGGCCATACAGCTTTAAGTTATAAACCATGTGTATTTAATCCATTTAGAGAGGATGGGAGTGTGGAAATATGTCAATGACTATTTTTTGGGTTATCCCAGGTGATCCACATATATGCTGCTATGTATGATAATCTACGTAAGTTCTCCACATATATGCTGCTATGTATAATCTACGTAAGTTCTCCACACATATGCTGCTATGTATGATAATCTACGTAAGTTCTCCACATGTATGCTGCTATGTATAATCTACGTAAGTTCTCCACATATATGCTGCTATGTATGATAATCTATGTAACTGTATTTGTGTGTACCTGAATGAATTTACTTATAGGTGTTTGTCTCTCCCTGACAGGACTACTGGGCCGAGGTGTCGTCACTGAGGAGGGACCTTCTCTTCTGTCAATTAGGTTCCACTCAACTCCCTCTCAGGTTCGACCTGGACCTAGAGGCTGCCTCCACTTCGCCCTCGCCTCCACTGCCATTGCCTCCTGCACCTCTGCCACTGGTGGCCACCACTGCCTCCACCATCACCACCATTAAACACACACCCTCATCATCATCGCCTCCACCCACCACTTTTCGCACTAGCCCTTCTCCTCCTTCTCCAGTATCACGTAATCAACCACCAGCTTCTCCTCCTTCACCATCACCAATTTCCATCTCACGATTATCAGTCCAGTCTCCCCCATCAATATCTGCGGCACCTTCACAGAGATCGGCGAGTTCAGGAATACCAGCCATGTTGGGCGATGCCAAGCTCGATGTGAGGCCGCTGGAGGTGCCTTTATCAGTGGACCTCTCACCGCGAAGTACAAGACCTCCACGTAGCCTGAAACCAGAAGTTCTGGATGACCGGTCTTCCAGCTCAGACACTGAGCTGGATGACCAGTCTTCCAGTTCAGACACCGAGCTGGATGACCAGTCTTCCAGTTCAGACACCGAGCTGGATGACCAGTCTTCCAGTTCAGACACTGAGCTGGATGACCAGTCTTCCAGTTCAGACACTGAGCTGGATGACCAGTCATCCACTTCAGACACTGACGGCCACGATGATAAGGTAATGTTAACACAGACTGTGAATGTAACAGTTTATGTACTTTTATATTCTCACAGTTAACTAGGTTAGTTTCTGTTAGTTTGTTTTAAAGTTAATGCGGCTGAACACTAGGTATTTACAGTGGATTCCCCAATATACAAGAATGGAGGAACAATGCAACAGGCCTACTGGCTCATATTATATAAAGTAAAAGGACACAAGTGCAACTAATGTGACATTTTATTGTGGCAACGTTTCGCTCTCCAGGAGCTTTGTCAAGCTCCTGGAGAGCGAAACGTTGCCACAGTAAAATGTCACATTAGTTGCACTTGTGTCCTTTTACTTTACATATTGTCGGTAATTCTACCAACATTATTACAATCTGGCTCATATTAGGCAGATCTAACTCACACGTACCCATACCCAGTCGTATACTTGCCCAGCCTAATTCTAATGTTAAATTAATAACATCAGGAGTACATGCTGATACATGAAACTATTGTTGTCAAGGAATATATTAGTACTGTTCACCAGCAGGAGTATGTGGCTCTCCTGGAGAGACAACTACGAGACCTGAGGGCGAGGACCAATGCTTGCAGGTCGTGTCTTCCTTCGCCACAGCGAAAGTTGGCCACCTGCGGCGGTGGCAAGGCTTGGAGAGACTTCCGCCGCAGAAGACGACTCATTCGTCGCAAGGAACGACAGCAGAGGAGGGAAAGACGTCGTGACAAGAAGAATAAACAGTTAAATACAGCCAATAACGTAACGACTTCAACAACGCCCAAGAGCACGCCAACTACGATATTCACTCAGGCACAGCCCGACTTGGCTGACCAGGCTTATAGGTGAGTGACCAGGCTTCTGCATCTATTGTATACATTAATACCGCTGTATTAGACATACTTGTAAGTAGCCCACCTTAATGACATAGTAATTGTAGCCATGCACTTGTATTATACATGTTTAACATAGCTTTGTGATGTATTCTATATATAAATACAGCTGTATCCTGAGTACTTGTAATTGTAACCCACATTCATGTATTACATGTACAAGTACATTCAATAAGTGCCACGTATTGCATGGTAAGTATACTTGATGTTCCAGACTATGTTTGTAAAACACACTCAGTAATTTGATATGCCTAAAAGTATCTAGTGTATTTTGAATTTCTAAATGTATTTCACACAGTACTCTCAGTTTGTTACACAAATGTAACTGACAGTGTTCACAATTCAAAACACACACACACACACATACACACACACACACACACACTAATACATTTTCAATATAATTTTTTTCCCTCTCTGTCCCAAAACCAAAAAATCCTTTACCTTCCGCTCCTTCCCACAATTCCTTGTATTACATTCTTCTTTACTATTATCTGTATTCTTTTTTTCTGCATTTGCATTAATTTCCTACATCTTTATCTCTTTGATTATCCTACCTCTATATTCCTTCCCAACCTTTATTTTATTTTGTATTGAGCTTCGTCAACTTTTATAATTGTTATCCTGTACCTCTGTTCTCTCATTATCTTCATTTCCTGCATCTCTTCACATCAATCATCGAATATCGCCCTGTTAAACCTTCACTTATCTATCGATATCACTACAATACTCGTTTACCATTCCTGCTTCCCTAATGTCCCTCCATTCCGTCTGATTCTTTCTTTCCTGTTTTGCACGCTTTCCTATCCATACTTCCTCTCTCTCCCTTCTTGACTCTCTCCTCCATTTCTCCAATTTCCATCTTCCACATCTTCCCTCTGTCTCCCCAATGTTTCGCACTTGCCCTCCCTCTCCCGTCTTGACTTCCCTCTGTCTCTCCTTACTGCCTTATTCTTGGTTTATGACTTCCCACCCTTCCCCGCGGTCCCTCCTGATACAGCGATCAGAAGATGGACAATCAACGTGCCCGTGAAACTCACCGCATGAGTACTGACTTCCGTCGTGGATTCAACCAGAAAATCTCACGAATGGACGAGGCGCTCATGCAGTTCACAGACACTCAGGCTTCTTTCTGTAAGGAGCTTCGTGACAACCTCGGTGGGAGGCTGGAGAAGAGGGGACAGGAGCTGGAGGCACTCTCAAACCAGATCGCCTCACTTGTCAGGACCTCAACAGCACAGATCACAGCTTTAGAGAAAGTCGCCTCAGATCAGGTGTGTAGTGGGCTAGGGAAACATTGATTTATATGACTCTAAAACCACTAAAAAAATTATTTCACCTTGATAATAATGAGAAACCATAGAGCATAAAAGGACCCATCTTCCTCTTCCACAGAAAGCTCCAACTGTGGGTCATCAAACCTTACCTAACCTGACCTTTCTTCCACAGCTATATGCAGGACAAGTCAGTATAGAAAAAAGCTTAGCTGTTACCCAGGCCATTCGTGATTCCCAGTTACGAGCAATACAGAACTACCACAAGCAGACATTTTTACCAGCTGCTGCTGCTGTTGCTACAGTCCTGACTGACCAGGCCTCTGCTCTCACTTCCATGGGTGTTGAACTTATAACTAAGGTCAGGACATTAGCAACAACATGTTGTCATAGCATTTGTCTATTATGATCTGAAGAAGAATTTACAACAGGTAGGATTTTCAGTAAGGTATGAAATATGAGAGGTAGGATTATCAGTAAGGTATGAAGTATGAGAGGTAGGATTATCAGCAAGGTATGAAGTATGAGAGGTAGGATTTTCAGTAAGGTATGAAATATGAGGGGTAGGATTATCAGTAAGGTATGAAGTATGAGAGGTAGGATTATCAGTAAGGTCTGAAGTATGAGAGGTAGGATTATCAGTAACGTTTGAAGTATGAGAGGTAGGATTATCAGTAACGTTTGAAGTATGAAAGGTAGGATTATCAGTAAGGTCTGAAGTATGAGAGGTAGGATTATCAGTAAGGTATGAAGTCTGAGAGGTAGGATTATCAGTAAGATCTGAAGTATGAAGGTAGGATTACAGTAAGGTCTGAAGTATGAGAGTAGGATTATCAGTAAGGTATGAAGTATGAGAGGTAGGATTATCAGTAAGGTCTGAAGTATGAGAGGTAGGATTATCAGTAAGGTCTGAAGTATGAGAGGTAGGATTATCAGTAAGGTCTGAAGTATGAGAGGTAAGATTATCAGTAAGGCATGAAGAATGAGAGGTAGGATTATCAGTAAGGTCTGAAGTATGAGAGGTAAGATTATCAGTAAGGTCTGAAGTATGAGAGGTAGGATTATCAGTAAGGTGTGAAGTATGAGAGGTAGGATTATCAGTAAAGTCTGAAGTATGAGAGGTAGGATTATCAGTAAGGTCTGAAGTATGAGAGGTAGGATTATCAGTAAGGTCTAAGTATGAGAGGTAGGATTATCAGTAAGGCCTGAAGTATGAGAGGTAGGATTATCAGTAAGGTCTGAAGTATGAGAGGTAGGATTAACAATGTACTAAGTACTATGTATGTATAAGATTATAAGGTACTAATTATAAATTTAATAATGTTTGAAGTACAGTACTACTTGTACAAGAAGTTGAATTACCTTTATGGTGTGATATATGAATAAAACAATTCTGACGGTATATAGTACACTGAATTTAATCCATATTTTAGGCAATGTGGACCCCCGGTTTACGATATTATTTCATTCCAGAAGTATGTTCAGGTGCCATTACTGACCGAATTTGTTCCCATAAGGAATATTGCGAATTAGATTAGTCCATTTCAGACCCGCAAACATACACATACAAACGCACTTACATAAATACACTTACATAATTGGTTGGATTAGGAGCTGATCGTAAACCGGGGGTCCACTACAGTATTCATGACTGGTGGTAAACATGACATACAGCCTTAATAACCCTCGTGTAGTAGGTTTGACATTTAATTATCATATTGAAGAAGAACTAAGTCCATTGGAGATATACATTTGGGGACTGGAAGGTAATTAAGGACACCGGTGGAAACAGGTGGAAACAAGTCGCTGACTCTTTTGGGTTATGTTTGGTAATTTACACCTCTTACCCTTTTTTTTTTTTAGGCACGTTGCCATTTCCCGCTGAGGCAGGGTGACCCAAAAAGAAAGACCCCCACCCAAAAAAAAAGACCCAACCTAAAAAGAAAGACCCCCACCCAAAAAAGAAAGACCCCCACCCAAAAAGAAAGATCCCCACCCAAAAAAGAAAGATCCCCACCCAAAAGAAAGACCCCACCCAAAAAGAAAGACCCCACCCCAAAAAGAAAGATCCCCACCCAAAAAGAAAGACCCCCACCCAAAAAGAAAGATCCCCACCCAAAAAGAAAGACCCCACCTAAAAAGAAAGACCCCCACCCAAAAAGAAAGACCCCCCCCCAAAAAAAGAAAGACCCCCCCACCCAAAAAAAAATACCCAACCTAAAAAAGAAAGACCCCCACCAAAAAAGAAAGACCCCACCCAAAAAGAAAGACCCAACCTAAAATAGAAGACCCCCACCCAAAAAGAAAGACCCCACCCAGAAAGACCCTCATCCAAAAAGAAAGACCCTCACCCAAAAGAAAGACCCCCACCCAAAAAGAAAGACCCCCCCCAAAAAGAAAGACCCCCACCCAAAAAGAAAGACCCCCACCCAAAAAGAAGACCCCCACCCAAAAAGAAAGACCCCACCCAAAAAGAAAGACCCCACCCAAAAAGAAAGATCCCCACCAAAAAGAAAGACCCCCCCCCAAAAAGAAAGATCCCCACCCAAAAAGAAAGACCCCACCCAAAAGAAAGACCCCACCCAAAAAGAAAGATCCCCACCCAAAAGAAAGACCCCCACCCAAAAAGAAAGACCCCCACCAAAAAGTAAGACCCTCACCCAAAAAGAAGACCCCACCAAAAAGTAAGACCCTCACCCAAAAAGAAAGACCCCCACCAAAAAGAAAGACCCCCACCCAAAAAGAAAGACCCAACCTAAAAAAGAAAAGATCCCACCCAAAAAGAAAGACCCCACCCAAAAAGAAAGACCCCACCCAAAAAGAAAGACCCCACCAAAAAGAAAGACCCCACCCAAAAAGAAAGACCCTGCCCAAAAAGAAAGACCCAACCTAGAAAGAAAGACCCAAACTAAAAAAAAAAAGACCCAACCTAAAAAAGAAAAACCCACCCAAAAAGAAAAGCCCCACCCAAAAAGAAAGACCCCACCCAAAAGAAAGACCCCACCCAAAAAGAAAGACCCCCACCCAAAAAGAAAGACCCAACCTAAAAAAGAAAGACCCCACCCCCAAAAAGAAAGACCCCACCCAAAAAAAAGACCTCACCCAAAAAGACCCCACCCAAAAAGACCCCACCCAAAAAGAAAGACCCCCACCCAAAAGACCCCTACCCAAAAAGACCCTCACCCAAAAAGAAAGACCCCACCAAAAAAAGACCCCCACCCAAAGAAAGTACCCCCACCCAAAAAGAAAGACCCCACCAAAAGAAAGACCCCACCCAAAAAGAAAGACCCCACCCAAAAAAGAAAGACCCCACCCCAAAAAGAAAGACCCCACCCAAAAAGAAAGACCCCGCCCAAAAAGAAAGACCCCACCCAAAAAGAAAGACCCAACCTAAAAAAGAAAGACCCCACCCAAAAAGAAAGACCCACCCAAAAAGAAAGACCCCACCCAAAAAGAAAGGACCCCCACCCAAAAAGAAAGACCCCAACCAAAAAGAATGACCCCACCCAAAAAGAAAGACCCTGCCAAAAAGAAAGACCCCACCCAAAAAGAAAGACCCCACCCAAAAAGAAAGACCCAGCCTAAAAAAGAAAACCCAACCTAAAAAAGAAAGACCCAACCTAAAAAGAAAGACCCAACCTAAAAAAGAAAGACCCAACCTAAAAAAGAAAAACCCCACCAAAAAGAAAGACCCCACCCAAAAAGAAAGATCCCCACCCAAAAAGAAAGACCCAACCATAAAAAGAAAGACCCCACCCAAAAAGAAAGACCCAACCTAAAAAAGAAGACCCCACCCAAAAAGAAAGACCCCACCCAAAAAAAAGACCTCACCCAAAAAGACCCCACCCAAAAAGAAAGACCCCCACCCAAAAAGACCCTACCCAAAAAGACCCTCACCCAAAAAGAAAGACCCCACCCAAAAAGAAAGACCCCACCAAAAAAGACCCCACCCCAAAAAGAAAGACCCCCACCCAAAAAGAAAGACCCCCACCCAAAAAAGACCCCCCACCCAAAAAGAAAGACCCCACCAAAAAAGAAAGACCCCACCCAAAAAGACCCCACCCAAAAAGAAAGACCCACCCAAAAATAAGACCCCACCCAAAAAGAAAGACCCCTACCCAAAAAGACCCTCACCCAAAAAGAAAGACCCCACCAAAAAGAAAGACCCCACCAAAAAAGAAAGACCCCCACCCAAAAAGACCCCCACCCAAAAAGAAAGACCCCACCAAAAAAAAAGACCCCACCCAAAAAGAAAGACCCCCACCCAAAAAGAAAGACCCCCACCCAAAAAGAAAGACCCCACCCAAAAAAGAAAGACCCCACCAAAAAAGAAAGACCCCCACCCAAAAAGAAAGACCCCTCCAAAAAAGAAAAACCCCACCCAAAAAGAAAGACCCCCACCCAAAAAGAAAGACCCCACCCAAAAATAAGCCCCCACTCAAAAAGAAAGACCCCCACCCAAAAAGAAAGACCCCACCCAAAAAGAAAGACCCCACCCAAAAGAAAGACCCCACCCAAAAAAGAAAGACCCACCCAAAAAGAAAGACCCCACCCAAAAATAAGACCCCCCAAAAAGAAAGACCCCCACCAAAAAAAAAAACTTACCATCATTCAACACTCACCATCATTCACACATAATCACTGTCTTTGCAGAAGTGCTCAGATACGACAGTTTAGATATTTTACTTATGTATGATAATTTGCTTAACTAGTACGTATTTATGTGTACCTGTACCTAAATAAACTTACAAGGTTTGAGCTAATTAAGGGAGGATAGCTTCAAGATTCCTTCATTAGCATCAAGGCACCAGACATTGAAAGTAAGATTATTTAGGTACAAGTCTACAAGAGTACAACCCAAAAAAGTCTTTGACTTATTTCCATTGGAGTTCAAAATGGTTAGTAAGATTATTGAGGCACAGATACACACAGGTACAATTATCATAAATAGTGTAAATTACATTTGAATTTGTTTTTTGGCTATCCTAGATAATTTATATATACTTATGTATACTTGTGCTTAAATAAACTTACATAGGATAACCCCAAAAAGTCAAAGTGACTAGATTCCCTAAATATAGCACCAGCTGTGGTGCTCTACAAGAACATCTTGATAGACTGATCACATCTCTACCTCACCACTACTGCTGCTGTTTCTATATTCTTCTCTTTATTTAATAGAAATCTAGTACTGTTGTACATGTGTCTAGATCATCACCAAGCCAGTCTTTGCTGACTCAAGAAGGGGGTTGTGGCTCTGCTGGAGGAAGATTTGTTCTCTATTATTCCAGCCTAGATTTGAGAAAAGATTTTGTTTGGATTTTTAACCTGGAGGGTTAGTCACCCAGGGTGACCCAAGAA